AGTCACAAGTTAAGTTGTGTCGTAATGCTAATTTGTAATGACTCATTGAGTCCAAAAGCCATTATTTTCATTTACCAACTCTATCATAAAGATTTGGAAATTAGAAGTTTTTTTAAGATGATTCGCAAAATCTTTGGTATATATGTATGTCGAATTCTCCAAATCTACCTCATCACTCCCGTCGCCGCAATCGTCTACACCATCGCACAGCTTGTCATAGTGGAAACACTTAGTTTCCTCCAGGTATGGGCATCTGGAGGTAAACAAATCGATAGCGTTAAGTTCGTCAGTGTGTTAATCTTAATCAATCTCCTTTTACCTGAACTCCTGATCTGAGCACACGGGTTCCCCTTGATGGACTCCCTCTTCACCGTAAGAGAACTCAGCATAATTACCATAGGAGCGCTCAGATTTCTCTATAAGAAACAATTTCTTGTTTCGTGCTCCTTTCCATTTTCGGGATTTTGCTAGAATAGAGAAATGACCAAAAGTTAGAGTTTGTGAAGAATAGAGTATTAAAAGCATAGTGAAGTGAAGGTGCAAAAGTGCAACAAATACCGTGCTCATAGCTAGTGCGATCAAATTCGGCGTCTTCATCATCTTCAACGTAGTCGTTTTGTTCTTCGTAGTCGTACTGTTCAGGTGAACTTTGCTTTTGTTGTGCTTCGTGATATTTCAATGCAGCAATAAAATATTCTAAATTGATGAGTGCAAAGGTGCTTGAAGCAGAGCTGAGGAATGCAAACATATAGGTATTGATCAGCGTTGAATCTATCAATCAATGTCCTACTGAGAAAACCGATACTTCGATCAACTTTGCTGCATTCCAACTCTACATGTTTTAGTGAAAGTACTCCACTTATAGGTAACTGACAATACATAGAAGAATACAGCGAATGTGCAGAATTCGATAAGATTAGTAAAGCGCAAAATAACAACAATGGGTGTCTGATTCTTTCGCATAACCATGCGAAAGGGACAGACACCTAATTGCAAACTCGAGATGTTTCGGGGAAGTACGAAAACATCGAAGTGATTAAAAAGCAGTGCTTGAGTGCTAGCAATATCCAAGAAAATGAAGTGAAAAGAAGCCCCTCTGAAATGGTGCAAGTGCAGTTTCAAGAAATGGCAATTTTTGTAGAGAAAAATATTCATCCAAATTAGCGGCTTCAGCCTTAAAAAAGCAGAAAAATGGCATAGTTTAATTGGCATTGTATAGAAATCGATTTATTGAAAGTCATCAATTCAACTTTCGTAATCTTTGAACACTGAATTTCTAGCCATTAATCAAACAAAAAGCAAAGATCATTACCAAACTTTTAACTTAGGATCCCAATCTACAGGCTGCCAATTATACATGATTCGCAGCTTCTACCAATG